GCTTTTTTAGCAGCAATTCTTACGTGCTTGAATTTGATCTAGTGTATGAGCTGAGCCTGTCTAACTTGCTATTCACTTTAGAAATAGGTAGAAAGGCTGAAACCAGTTTTGTGTCCAAGCCACGGTGACCACTCAGCAACAGAAAAAAAACAACCAACCAACCAAACCCAACACCTGTCAATGCGGGTCTTTTTCAGGAAGTCTGTGTGGAACCAAAATGTGAATTTACAGCTGAGAATTAAATCTCATTCAAGCCCTAGCTAATGTTTTGCTGCTAAACTAGAAGAAAAATTTGTTCCTTGGCACAAAGCAGCAAACTTCCTGAACTCTTCATTGCTCCACTAGGTATTTTTCTGTCTTACAACTTTAGTGTAACATTTCTGTTTGAAATATTTCAATAAGTAAACCACAGTGTGTGTATGGCTTACTGTTGCAGTTAAATTTGCAAGACAGCAGATGAGCAGTTGTTTTCAAAGTTTTTCTTTTGCAGCTAATGTTACCCTTAATTCTGTTTTTGGACAAACTTGAAAAAGCATAGGGATGGGTGCAATGTGTTGCACAGTGGCTTCTCTTTCAGTAGAGAAGTCATTGAAGTAAAACAGCTTCTGGTAGCAACTGGGACCATCCGCTGCCCTTCTACCTGCAGTGCTTGGAGCGTCACTTTGAATTCAAAGGCTTGTCCTGAAATGTCAAGAAGCAGTATACTTCTGGGAAGGAAGATCAGTGCTATATTTAAAGCACAAGGTTGGGAAACAAGATCAGTAAAACCTGAGCTGTGGGGAAGTCACTGTCTGAAGGTCCTCCATTTCCTTGTGTGTAAACTGGGGACAATTTGCAAAGGATGCAACAAAGATTTGTGGTCTGTTCACAAAGTGCTTTCAGATCCTTGGGTGGAAAGTGCTGTCAGAACACAGACTAGTTGTGTATTACTCACAAATATCACTAACTCCAGCCATATCTGACCTTACGGCAAGCTCTTCGTGGGTTCTTTGCATACAATTATTTTGTGGCCTCAGTGGTGCCGCACTGTGCATGCGATTCCCGTGCAGAGGAGGAAGAGTCAAGGTAACCTCGTAGCCTTCCTGTGTTTGCTGTCAATACAGTTTCTGTGAAATGTCTAAAACACCTCAGGTCCTGAAGTGAAACAGCAGCAGCCTGTTTGTTAGACCGAGCTGGGCGGTGTTGTTTACCTTCTGTTGTTTACATGTCTGTGTAAATAAAGAATACTGGTGTTTGTAAGTCAGTCACACAGGCCTGCTACTTAACTTGGTGACTTGATCATCGCTGCACACCCACTCCTGTCACATATCCTGCAGGGTGAGAAAGATCCCTACACCCTGCGAAAGCACCAGTTGCACTGCTGCACTTCACAGTCCCGCTGTGACAGCCTAAAAAAAGACTCTCTTGGTGCCCCATTTAGCCCAGCTTTTCTCTCCATAAGCTCTAAAGAAGAAGCATTCACGAACAAACTTCTGTGCCCAACCCCGCTCCTGGATGGATATAATTGAGGAAAGGATGAAGCTGCCCTCCTGATAAGCCTGAAACCAATACTCCACCCCCACAGCTAAACAGCCTGACTTGGCACTTCACAATCAGAGTTCAGTGATCAGGGCTGCTCCCGACCTAACAGGGCACCTAGATGATGCAGCAGTGCAACGGGACCAGGCAGTAGATGACGCTGCTTGTATTATAATAATCTTTTTGTATGCCTCTGCCACATGTTTTGTGCATCTGCAGCACGCTACAAGTGTCAAAGGATTCTTGGTAGCACGTGCCCCTTTCTGCTGCTGTTCAAACCCATCTTGACACAGCTGTTTCAGTCTAATAAAGAGTTTGGTTTCAATTTGAACCATGCCTTTATCCCCAGTCCTCTCAAAAAACCACACAAAACTGAAAAAAAGATGGCTTAAATCCCCAAACATCTTCCTCCTCCCTGTGTCACAGTGGTGGTGACAGGGACAGAGGCAGCATGGCAGCTCTGTGGTTGCTCACAGCTCCCGGTCACTGCTGTGGTGCTTTATGGCTCACATCTGAGCAACTGCTGAGGGCAGTTAACACAAAAAGCCTTGGGCTTCTCCATCTCATGCTGGGAAATAGAAAGTTTTCAGTGAGCCTAGTAGCAAATATGCAAGAGAACTTCCTACCTGCATAGTCCCTCTATCCTGATGGTAGCAGGGATACTAAATGGTGGTGTAGGACTGCCTGAATCTTCCCAGTGGTAGTGGCTCATCCTTATGCCCCTTCTCTGAATGGCTTCCGATATTGGTGCATCAAATGCCACCTTGTCTACATCAGCCTGGTCTCACCATCAAAACCAGTTGCAGGTATAACAGGCAGCCTTATCAAACATCACACATTTTAAAGTCTTACATACACTCCATTTTGAGACACTTAAACTGTTAGCTCTGGGTCTCTCTCCAATGTCTCTAGAGATTGTGTGAGAGCAGTCTGACCCTCTCTGGTTGATGGAGACTTTCAATAGCATGTCCGTATTGAACTTCTTTCCTGAATAGGCACTCGCAGTAGGCTGGAACAGTAAAACCAAGCCAGAGTTCACCAGAAGGTTAAATATTAACCGATCATAGCACTAAGGGCCTATCTGTCCCAGCTGCAGGCAATGGCACACCTCCAACTTTGCCAGGAACAGGATCATGCACTGTAACTGCATGTCTCTGACCAAGGGAACTGAAGGTGGTGGCTCTTGAGGTAAGAAAGTGTGAAATATGATGTATGCTACCTACAACTGAAAACCAAAAATGACAGCTTAGCATGCATTTCCAGCTAGTGCCTTATATTTAAAAACCAAAACCAAACAAAAAAAAGCCCATAGAAAACAACAACAGAAGTGCCTGATGCCCCACAGCAAAAATACAAATGTTCTTTGCTCTCACCTCCTTAGACTGGGAAATAGATTGCAAATTCTTATTTTTTTTGTCAGGTACCTTTCCAACACTCAATACAAAAACTTCTCCCCTCCCCCATCAAGTAATTCTAAATGGTATTTCCCTATTTCTTTTAGTTTACAGAGTTTTAACATCAGATATTACACCGTACCTTAGTACCTACCAGGAATCTTTACACCCACCAGGCAATAGATTAAAATTAGTCCTTGACTTGCAGACTGGAACTAGGACTTCCCCAGCTCCATGGATGTCCTGCTCACTCACTCATAGCACCAGCTGCTCTCTTTTACTGTCATCCTCTGGATCACACACTTGGCCTCACCTCTGTCTCCAGACAGCTCCCACGGGATGGGTTCCACCAGCTTGCACCCTGCACAGTCTCCGTGTAGATGGGAGAAGAGCACTGAGGCCAACCTGCATCCCCTGCACCTGATGAGTATTGTAACCACCGAACTAACATGGCAGGAGCCACAGCACTGTCTCTAGCACCTGTGTGGTTTTAAACAAGGGGTCCTTGCTTTATTCTTCAAAAAAAAACCCACAAGGTTGGATTTCAGCCATTAGAAGCAGGTTATGAATCCCATGGCTTGTCTGTAGTACTGACATGGCTAAATCCCAGGAAAACGGAGTTTATAATACAGACTTTTTCAGATTTTTCCCCACTGACTGCCATTTGGCAGTTCTCCACTCTGTGGGCAGATTTCAGTGGAGCCCTGTCTTAGGCATGAAATATTCCCTGCACAGGATGGGAATGTCAGACTGTAGGAACAGACACCTAACTGTGCCTAACTGTTTGGTGGATCACTACCCTTAAGACCTGTATGACTTGTTTCTCCATGGCCCTGGAGACTCCCATCCCATGCAGATTGGCAGGGATTGCTGCACCTTCCCCAGCATCAGAGAGCTTTTAGTGCTTGCGTGGCCTCTCCTGCATCTTGACACAAAGCAAACCAGTGAGTAACCACTATCAGTAACTGGTGGAGCCCATGCCTCTTATCTACACCCACTGCTGAATGGGAGAAATGTCAAGGGAAACCCTCAGGTCAACTCTGTTGTGACATCCCCAGTGAGCCCCAATTTTGTATCCATATAATACAGGTGGCAAGTTCTGCCCTCAGGTGGCATGAGGACACAGTCACCTGCTGTTTCTGAGGAATCTAAAAACCACAGCAAGGAAACACTATTGCCACAACAAATTACACTGTTTACACAAAGTCACACTATTACCTTTTGACCTTAAAACAGTAGTGTTGCATTTCAGCAACACCTTCAAAAATGTACATATAAATTCACCACCGAGGTAGTTAATAAAAACTGAATGAAATGCAATACTTGTCTATGTCCTGGCTTCTGCCACAGGCAAAGCAAGCTGGTAATTTTTTCTCCATGGCGTTCTATTTCAGTTCAGGAGGGCAAGTAACAAAAAGCAAAAAAATGAACAGTTTTATGATATCTAAGAAAGGAGTCAGTGGTCTCTCAGAAGTTCTGCAGGGTCAGGCACCCACTGAA